TGATCTAAAAATTCATTAGCCATTTACCTTTCGTAAAGGTTTAGCTGATCTTAAAGTTCTTCTTCTAATCCAAAAAAATGCATGAAGATTTTAAAAACATTCATCTTAGCAATCTTAATCATCTTTAAATCCTCAATTTAATCAATTTTTATTTCTATGAATTTTAAATTATAAGCCATGTAATTATAAAAAATTTAAATAGAATTCTAAAAAAATTTCAAGATATCCTTAGTTTAACCTATCAATCCATGAAAAATCCTAAATACATCTTATTAAATCTTAATTAAACTTCAAATAAGTCCTAAAAAAACTTTGAATAATTATAAAAAATTATTTTAAAAAAAAATAACTAAATTTACCAAATCCTAAAAAAACTCTAAAAAAATTTGAATTGAATTATAAAATTCCTAATCAAATTATGGCCAAACCATAAAAAAAATTCTAATTGAATCTTGAAAAATTATAATTTATAAGTTTTAATTTGTAAGTAGAACCAATAATATATTAAAAAAAATTATAAGTTTTAAAATAACCATTTATTTCACTTTATAATTTACACATCTTAAAATCTTATTTTTGAAACACGTATAGAAAAAATAAAGAAAACTAAACTTAATTTTTTTAAAAAAATATAAATAAACTACATAGATATAAAATAACTACCTTCTTCAATATTGATGTCAAATTTCTAATATTAAGATCTTCTTCTTGAATTAATAATTTTCTCCTAAAATTTGTGTAAGTATTAGAATTTACATCAACTACTAGTTTTTATAATTGTATTTTAATCTATTTGAAAAATCATTGAAAATTTTTAAAATTCTTATTAATCTTCAAACTACCAATTATTTATTCTTTAATCTACTAGGATTCCAATAGTTTTGTATTTAATCTACCGACTAAATTCAAAATCATATCACAAATTTAAGACAAATTTTTACTTAAATCTATAATACTTTATCTATAGATTTTTTATAAAATTCAGAAAATTTTCCAAAATATAAATTTTACTTTATCATCATAGCAATAAATAGAATTATTAAACATTACTTATCAAGCTACTCCATTGCCACTTTAATATGTGAATATATTGTTGTGCCATTCTAAGATAATCCAAAAGAAATGAAATAGTTTATTTGATGTAATTTTTTAGATTAAATATGTTATTAATATTAATTTTTTATTGTAGTCATCTCATATAGGTTAAATGGCGGATAAATTTCCACCTCCTATTTACAAATTAGAAATCTTTTTTAGCTCAATGTTTCTTTTTTATAAGAATTTGAAGTTTTTTTCTTCCCATTAATGACCTTGCTACATAATATCACATGTATCATTGTTAATACATTCAACTAACATCAAATCAGAATTATTGGAAGAAAGAGTTTTTTTATTCCTAATTCTACTTAGAGCTCCAATTCATTCTACCTTTGCTTGAAACAAGTAAATCTTTATATTCTTCAATGACTAGAATTTTTATATATATTTTTAGAATAAATTTATAATATTTTATAATTTTATTATATTAATTTTTACTAGTATCTTTTTGATATTGGCTTACGTCTTTATAGATCCACATATTTATTAACTTATATATTGATATTTAGTCAGGCATTATAATATTTTAAGTGGTTGTTAATAACTTATGTCCTGGAAATAAACATAAGCTCATAATTTTTTAAATTATTTTGTTGATAAAAGACTAATCTTTAATTTTTCTATGTATATGCTTTATCTCTAAGCTTATCTTAAATCTTACATAAATTTTATTTATTTATTTATATTTCTTTTTCCATAAACAACACCAGTATTTTTTAATACTAATTTTTTTTCATTTAAAAAAAATAGAGAATTTTGTTGCTCTAAGATTTAATCTACATTATGATTAAGTAAATCTTAGATTTAATTTCTATGAACATTTTTACTAATATTTGATGGATGACAACTAATCTAATCTAAAGATTTAATAATGCATCTTTATATAATAATTTTTCTTTATACTTGTTGGTAGTAACTATATAAGAATTTTAATTTTTTATATATCCTTTAATACTTCTAAATTGTAAATTGTCTCAAAAGGTACAAAAGCCGATCTATATGCCATATAAAAATTCAAGTATTATTTTTTTTTTCTTTCCTTTTCCAATCTGGACTTTAAATAGATATAACTTTTTCCAATACTCATACTAGGTTATATTACTCTATCAAAATTCTCTTCTTTTTAAATTTTAGCTATTTATTTGATTGATTATAAGAGGATCTCTTTTCTATAAAGTATACTATGAAAATGTATTGAGTTAAATATTCAATCTTTACCGTTACTATGGCCTCATTTAAAAGAATTTTCATTATAACAAACAAAGCAAATAAAAAATCTAAAATAGTTGCAGCCAAAACCATAAAGAAAAGATATACCATACATTATTTTAGTTGGATATAGTTGTCCTATTCTTCTCTAAACTCCCACCTTCTTTAGACTCCTATTATTTGAAATAAACTTTGAGATAAATTTTGAAAATACTTAAAATAATTTTTATGTTTATTTCTAAATAATATTTTACTTGCTTTTATTACATTTACACCTGGTACCATTTTTGCTTGCGCCCTTAGACATGCTCCCTCAACACAAACATGTTTTGCTTACAAGTCCATTTGCCTTAATTAACATAATTCTACTAGGAGCTAACATTTATAATTTATAATTATTGTTATTATTCATTTTCTTTTATTGAGTTCCATGTACACCTTATTCTTTCTCTTAAATATTTTATCTTGAATATATAAACAAAATTATGTACAAACATACCAAAAAAATCACACTACCTAAGGTGCCATAATTAGGTATACATTCTTATTACCATTGTCAAACCTCACCACAATTCCAGAGACATCTATCATAAATATGCACTTCTTAGATTCCAACTCTATTTGTAATTAATTTATAAATACAAATATCTACAAAGAAAAACTGTAATTGATTTTAAATATTTCTTTAAAAACTAAAAATGGTAAAATAAAAAAATATATTTTTTTCAAATTTTCAAGCACTTAAACAATTTGAAGTTTTTTTAAAAAGTGTGAAGTATATTAAAAATTATTATTATATATATATATATATATATATATATATATAACATCAGCGATTTTTGTACAAAAATTTCTCAAATATATAAACATATGGGAATGTTAAACAGGCTCAAGTTTTTACTAAATAGACCCACCTTTGATGAAGAATATAGTAATCATTATGAATGTGGTTGGTTTTTATTGGTGGCAGATCCAATAATAGGAAAATGAACCTAGAAATCATTATTTTTTTCCATGATGGTTAGAATGGGTGGGTAAGTTTAGTAAAAACTTGGGTCTATTTAACATTCTCCTCTATCTATCTATCTATGTGTATATATATATATATATATATATATGTATTATTTTTAAAAAAACTCTTCACTTGAGATATTGTGTGCAATCTGTTGCTAGCAAGAAATCCAAAATTACATATCCGGAAACAGTCTCTAGTTACATGCTAATTATCACCGTAATTGTTTCGAAAAAAAGAACGAACAAATGAACAGAGTGGAAGGACCGACCAAAAAGAGCGACGGACCAACCAACCGACAAGACGAAGTGAACGAACAGAACAAACAGAACGAACAGATCGACCAACCTACCGACACCACCAGACGGAGTAAGCGAACAGGACGAACGAACGAACGAACGAACGAACAGAATGACGGACGGCCGTCACCCGCTTGGGTCAGTGTTGGTCCCAGTCCCAGCCGCTGTCGATAGCACTGCATGGTCACCAGATTCTGCTTTGCAGCTACCGCCTCGGCATGAGTCCAACCGCGCGCGCTGCAGATCACCCTGTCCTCTCGCGTTCCACACGGTTCTATTGTTTGAGCTTTATACCACACAGTCAACGCACATTTTGTTTGCCTCTTTCGTCAACGAGGCTCATCTGCGAAGCATTTTGATGGCCGCTCGGACACCCAGTTTGTCGCAAGCTACACAGAATTGATGGCCATCACTGCGAGTTCGGTGAGGCCTCTCGGAACTCCTGGACGTTGTCCCTCCTTTTTCTTTTCATTGAAGTGTCATGTGAAGAAAGCAGCTTTGTCTTGCAAGCTGTGTTACCCAAAGGTGTGCTTTGCGTCATTGCATGAAACACACAGACGGGTCTCATGTGGAGTTTGTTCAATACAGATTGGTGCCGTGATCAAACGTAAGGACTGTTGATTTTCAAACAAAGACGAGAGAAGGGGCCAAGATAGTGATGGTTGGTGGACTGTGGTCAATAATGCTGATCAGATTCAATAAATGCATCGAATTTCCCTTTTCTTTTCTTCTACTAATCGTAAATATTAATTTAGCCTCATTCTCTCTGCCTTAGATCTCACTTTTCTTTGGAAACTTAATTTGGTCAACGAACGATTTCATTGCTTAACCTACAACTCAACCGCCCACTGCCAGCGTTTTGGGTTTGGAAGTGGATCACGAAAGCTTGGAGATCATCGGATTGCGAAGTTCATGTCTGGTTATTTTGACAAGGAAAAAACTTCTGCAAGCGAATGTTGGACTCTGAAGTACAAGGTTCTGTTCATCTGCTTTTCATATCTGGCTCCTTTCCATATCCCAATTGAGTCTTTTACCCGAAAAAGGTACTAGATAGCCGTCAGACACGAAATCATCCTCCATTTATAACATTCCAAATCACTAAAATTTACGATATTCCTTCCAAGTGTGTACTTTGCATAGCTATTCTGACGTGGCTAATACAAGGCAATGAAGATGACACTACATTACGACTCTACAGAGTCACCCAGTTGAGGAGTCAGTAAGCAGCGATTAATGCTGTTCCAGGAATGATGCGATATTCCGTGCACTTTCCACTGCCATCCCCGAGAAATCAAAAATCTAGTTACTCATAAATGCAGTGCAGCGGATAAGCCGCCGCATGAGCAGCTGCAGACTGCAACAATGGCTAAATAAGCAACCTAATCTTGATCTGTAGACGCAAACACCTCCACTTGGGCAACGGGAATCATTTGAGGGACGGAGTCGCCCAATTGAGAGCTCTCAAGGGAATCAAGGCTGCAGAAGGACTTTCCGGTATTAATTGTTTGTTGTGACTAAAGTGCGAAGTTATAGGTGCAAGCGACCTTTTCAATGTGCCTGCCTGAGGGTGGATTCTATTCCAGCTTTCGGCAATGAATGTCTTCGGCTGGAACATTGAGAATCATTGGATATCATGCTAGTTTTGCACCTGCACTAGCGGATGAGGAATTGGGGCCCAGTGTGCTAGAAGTAAGTCTAGGGACTGATATTAGACTTCGATTGTCAAGATTTTGGCAACGGAGAGCTGGGTTGTGAAGGCTTAACACATTCGACGAGTATCAGGAATTGTAGTCATGAGAACACGAAAAATTTAGACACTTAGAGGGGGGTTTTGGTGTGTGAGCGAGAAGGTGGAGGTTCAGAGATTTTCTGAGCTGGCCAGCACATGTGTTGGTGGTGAAGAAAGATGTCGTCGTTCGCCTTGGAGGAGTTCGTTGGCAATGGGGTGCTGCGTGACCAGATGGATAGCTTCATTGCCGATGGCTGGGCTGATGTGCCCACGCTCAAGTTTATGAGCAAGGAGGATATGGATACTCTTCAGCTCAGCCAAATGCAGCGTGTACGTCGAATAATCCTTCATTGCCGAGCCTTCCACGATTTAATTGCCTTTGACTTTGGCACTAGCTGTTGAGAAGTCAGGTAGCGTGTCGTTGCAGCAGGTGTAAATATTTTTTTTCAACGTCATCGACATAGTTCAGAGTCGTGTGCTGGAGCTGCTTCCGCCACTGTCGAAAAAAACAAATTGAAAAGGATCTTATTAACTGTACCTCTTGTTAGTTTCAGTGGGTTGAAGCTCAAAAAACGAGGCAGTGCTTACCTTCACATTAGCAAGTGCGATTTCGTGGTCTTGAAAACGTTTTAGTTGTTCAAGTGTGGCGAATTTCATTCGACATGTCACTCAATCTTCATTTACTGCTCCGCAACATGACACACTGCGAGAAATTGAAAATGGCACCAAATGAATTCTCTTAGCTGTCCTTGTAGAACACAACTTGACGTTTCTGTCAGAGACAGCAGTCTTTCTTTTTTCTTCTTTCTTTTTTTTTCTTTCTTTTTTTTCTTTTTTATTTAATGCAATGTGAAATTGTTGGAAATGAACTGTCAAATACATGCGAAGCTATTCTCTAATTCTATGTCTTCCCTAATCTGTGCAGGATGCGCTGGAGATTCGGTCTCACCTCCATGACAGAATGCTCATGAGGTATGCGGACACCTTAGAAGCCTCAGGAAAAACGTTGTCGGAGCTTCTCAGCACCAGCCCAACCCAACTCACCATCGATTACAAGATGCGACGAGGTCATGTCGCAAGGTTCTTAGAAATGGGAGGCGCTTGCGCTGTCAAGTTGCCTAACAATCTTACCCTTCCCGCTCGGAAGTTCACCGCCGTGCACCGTGGCAATGCCGGCATTCGTGTCGATAATGACAATGGGTTTGACAATGTCGACGAGCCCCTACTCCCTGTCGCCGCCGGAGATCAGAAGCCCCGGTTCACCAACGATGTGAAAAGCAAATTCGAGGTGTCACCGCAACCCAGCATGCAGAAGAATGAACTGAACAGCTTCAGCAGCAATCATGAGGGTAAAACTCCTGCTCCCATTCCTATCTAATCAATTTCTGTCACTGACTATCATGTTAGTCAACATTCTGTGGATACTGATGAGATCGATTGGACGAGGGAGTTGTGTAGTACTCAAGTCGCCCGTGGTGCTGAAAGGACCCTTTAGCGGGCAAGCTCCATCCTCGAACAGCAGAGGCATCTTCTCAGCCCCGGAGGTGCCGCCTCGACTATGCGGCATATTGCGAGACAAAGGCGTGAAAGAGGAGATGACCCCTCTTTCAGTTCTAGAGAAGATCATGGTCCAGAAGGTGACGCCGGTATACACCAAGGGCGCCAACCCCTTCAAAAACAAAGGGTCGCTTAATCCGTTACCCGCTCCTGTGAAGGCGTCTGAACTGTGGGCGGAGAAACCGACGATTATTCTATGTCTTCGTCGTCCTGGGTACGTATCTCATCTCATATATTGAACTCCTGTCTTGCCGCTCACACCACTCACAGTCTCAAACTGATATGAATTCACTCAGGGATACTATCCTGAATCAGTCTCTTACGATTTGATGTCGCCCGATTGATCAGATGTGTGATGTGCCGCGCCGAAGCACATCAGTTGTACACCCGCAAGCCAATCTTCGACGCGATGGGCATCCAGTTGGTCGTCTTGCTCAATGAATACGTCGACAGCGAGGTATATACAGAAATCGATTCTCGCCACAACCTTCTCATACTATAGCCAAATCCCTGCACTTCGAAAGCTTCGAAAACCGTCTAGAATCTGCTCGACCCCCGATTACTAATGCACGACGGGGCCTGTGCTTGCAGGTGAAAGCATTCTGGCCACGGTACTGGGGCGGAGTAGTGGTCGCGGATAGCAACCGGGACTTTTTTAAAGCACTTGGACAAGGAAAAATGCCCCGAGAGAACTACTTGACTGGGTTTTTCCTAAACCCGACTGCGCTCTCGAACTTCAAGCGCGCTACGGCCACGAACTTCGACTGGAACGTGAGGGGCGAGGGGAATATCAAAGGAGGCATGTACATTCTCCGAGCTGGAAGCGGCGGGATCGCTTACCAATTCGTAGAGCGCAACTTCGGCGACTGGGCTCCGCTCGACGAAGTCATGGAAGCTTGCGAAATCATCATGCAGGTATGGCGCCATCAGAAGTTTTGTGCTCTTCTCACAGATTCTTCTTTCCTTGCTTTCTCTGTGGTTTCAATTACCGACAAATTTGTAGGCCATTCTCGGAGTGATGAATCACCAAGTTTTGAAACTGTGATGTGGTGGTTGCAGAAAAAATGATCTGCACGGAGTGTAACTCGATCACGACTGAAGAATCTTTTAGCAATTTTTTTTACTCTTTTTTCCTCTTTTTTTCTTACTTGGTCAGTTTACTACGTATGATACTGCTGACATAGAATTGTACAATTTGTTCTTGCTGGAGTTGGGTGCTGATCAGCTCAGGAAGCAATAAGGAGTGTTAGATAGACCCACTATGCTGGGTTCAATACAATCTGGGAGTTTCCACTTCTGAAAAATGAGATGATATTATATTGTTGGTTTTGATACTTGGACCTGTTTTTAGACATGGCTCTTTTTCACATCCACTGTGACGGATCCAAATGATTTAATGCAAATGATTATTGTCTTGGCTTCTGCTACTCCTTACGCTCTGTTTTATCTATTTTGAGAATATTGATTTGGCACTGTCAATCACGTCTAGGGTAAACAACAGGATTATAATGATTAAAAAGGAATTATTTTTCAACAAGAGCATATAACTTTATAGACAGAGTAGGTAGATGGTTAAGAATTGTCTTACTACACATTAGCCCAAGTTGCATCTTTCTCTATTTTAGCTTCTGTTTTGTATTTTTTGTCTATGTCTTGCTATTTATAGTCGAGTTTAGTTGTGGAGTGGTAGTTGCCAGGTGATAGTTTTGAATATCACCAAATTTAGTAAAAAAATTGTCAATACAATTTAGATTAGTTTCATAGAGTGTCATAACATCTACTCTCTTTGTCATAATTATTTATTTTGAAGTGCGTTGAGGGATATATAAGATTTAAGTCCTCAGTCTTATAGAGAGTATTGAAAGAACCTCTTAGAGATTCTTCACTCCTAATTCAAGTTCAATTGTGTCAAAATACTCTAAAATCCTAGGAAGACTCATCTTTTTGAAATTGAGCCTTAGGAGGAGCAGAGTGTTGTAGATCAATACCCTTCGATAGTACTAGTACACTGTTTGATTGAATTTCTTGGTGTAGAGTTTTGAAATATTTGGCGGGGTTTTTTCCACTAAGCTTCATTTGAAAAATATCCTACCTCACATACAAGTGTGAGGTAGAATTACACTCAGGTGAGGTGTTGTAGCTTGTGCTAGGGTTTGGTACGGCTGGAACTACATTGGAGTAGCCCTGCGGTCAGGGGCTCCGAAGGGTGGTGTAACAGTTGGTGTTGGGCTGCCACAGAGAGGTGGTAGCGAAGTTGCGCCATGGTGGCGTGATACTGCGCCAGGGTGTTGTTGCGGGATGGTACGACATTGTTGCGACAGCCCAAGGCATTAGGTAAGGACACTAATGCAACGCTGGATTAATGCAACATTCTCCATCACGACTATGCTTTCTATCAAGGTTGCGGCAGAGGAGTGCTGGTACGCCATGAAGTCTGTAGTAATCAGATATGGTCTGCGTTTTTGGTTGACTTTAGACGTGGAAGCATTGAGGAAACCTCAACTTTGGAGATGATTCAACAGTGGTAATTAGGCTATCCAAAAGTTGAAGAGCTGTACCAAGATTTCTTGTGAATTTCCAAATTTTGCAATAGAAAAGGGAGATTGAGCAAGAGTTGACAAAAGAACAGATAGCATGGGCTGATGTTTGTGGGATGTTAACAACAAAAACATGGCCTACATTGAAGGTACATGGACTGAGTGCCAAGATACAGATCTCAACTTGTGTAGCATAGTGATGTCATGATCGATTACGGCCTTTGAGAACTAGACACTACGAGGGCAAGCAAGCACTTCAGGCGAGAAAGAATTTGGTTACCAAAGTTTTTCTGTTCATTGTGTTATCAAGGATTTCGTGATTTAGACTGGTGCTTTCTCTTATCGACTGAGTATTTGGAAAAAGAGGTAGTTATTTGGTTTGCGTGGTCAGAGTCTTTGTGAAGAACAGGCTCCAATCACCGAAGTAGTAGCTTTAGCAGTCTTCACCATATTATTTAAGTTTTGAAAGGACCTTATTTGAGAAGGTGTCCAGATCATATCAAATTGCCCAAAAAAAGACTGGACGAGTATGGGACTGTCTTGAAGTGCAATGCAGCTTTATTGATGGTTGTGAACTTGGAGAAAGAAGCTGAAGCTGTTGGTAGCAATATGGATATGCCAGCCTCAGTGTCTGAAGAGTTGCTTGAAAAGGAGCTCGTTATGCATCAGTGTGTAGAACAGCTCAAATCGTATGAGAGGAGCCATGCCATGATATGTTTTGATTTGAAAGATGTTTTTTTTTTATGTATAAGAGAATAAGTCCAAGATTCAGATATGGCTCTTTGAGCAAAATGATATGCGCATTGAGTTGATCAAATTGATAAAATTCAACTTCAAGCACATGGTCTAATTAATTTAGTAATTGTAAGATGGCTTTCTTAAGGCTTGTTTAAGACAACAAGACAAGAAGAGTATTTTATTTCAAAAACTCATTAGAGTTTTTCATACTCTTTAAGCTATACAACTTTCCAAGCTAAGTTATATTATGAAAATATGCCTATTATTTTAGAGTATAGATTTAAAAAAAATTATAAATTGCCAAAAATAAATATTATATTTTAGATCCATCTATATTTATTCATGCATCTAAGATAGAAACTTAAGCTTATTGAATTTGGCAATGATAGACTAATTTAATCCTTCTACTTCTTTTAGAAGTTACTTATAACTATAAAAAATGACAATCTTGTATATTAATGCAAGATATTATTTATCCTTAGAAATAACCTTATAATGTTTTGTAGAATGATAAACCACCTTATATTGTTGTTAATAGGGCTGAAGAAGCATAAAGAGCATTTCTTACATTTGTTAGCTTTACCAAATCATATGCATTTTAAAATGATGGAACATGTATTATTTTAGACTCAACTAGTATGGAATATGTGACTAATGAATTTAATGCCAATGAGTAAGAATGTGCCATGACATTTTTTATTGATACTATCCAATTGGCTAATGATTCTATCTTTGAATATCTAAGCCATATATTTAAAGTAGTATATCTCAAGTTGGATGTTTAGGTAGTTTGAGAAAAATATTAGTAACCATTATATCTTTAGAAGTTATGGAATTTAAAAAACTACTTGAGGGGTATTCTTTATCATCTTCAAAAAATTATGAAATCCTTCAAGAATATGTAAAACAATTATTTATTAATGCATATGTTAAGTCAAAAAAAATACAAAATCTTTGTTGAAGAGAATAAAATTGTTGAACATGACCAATGCATAAAAAGAAGATTATAGTCTTAGTGGAATTGTATAGCAACTAAGAAAAGAGTCATTTTTTTAAATGAAAAAAGCTAATATTAATATTATAGAATTAGAAACCAAATATAGAACTTGAAGAAAGAATAAAAAAATAAAAATAATAATACTATTTGAAAGAAGTTAAGAATTATTTTTCTTTTAGAATGAAAGACTTGAAGGTTCTAAAGAGATATGAAATATACATTGATTTAGTAGATAATGTTCCTATTCTTTGTAAAAAAATTAAATATAGTAAAGAAAATAATTATTAAAATCTAAATTAAAGAACTTATAGAAACCAAATTAGTAGAATTTTCTAATAAAGAATATGCATCAACTATTGTAATGTTTTTTAAGAAAGACATCTTTGGTAATTGAAAAAGAAGTAGATGTATAGTAGTTATATGCTTATCAATAAAAATACAAAATTAAATAGATATTTTATGCCTATTTTCAAAGAAATATTTGATAAAATTAAATATCCCAAGATCTTTAATACTTTGGATTTAAGATCTAGATATTATCAACTATTAGTAGGAGAAGAAAATACACATTAGATTAAATATTTAAGAATTAATAAATTTGGCAAGGAAAGATTATACTAATAAAAATTTCTACATTTGGATTGAAAAATGTATCAACTAAGTTCCAAAGGATGATAGATAGAATGCTTGTAGATTGTCTTTTGTAAGATATTATATAGATAATATTTATGTCTTTAGTAATAATAAAAATATATATTAAGAATATTTTAAAATAATATTAGAAAATTTGATAAAGTATAGACTTGATTTGCTTTCAAAAAAACATATTTTATTTTAGTCATCAATAGAATACCTGAAGCATATGACTTATCTAAGAAGACTTGGTGTACGATAAAGCAAAGTAAAGGCATTAGAAAATATCTTAAGATACAAATATTTAAATAAATTGAGGGTTTTTTTTGGAATTAGCTAATTATTATTGAAAGTTTGTTACAAAATTGAGTTGTAAAATTAATCTATTATTATGATCACAAAAAATTATCAATAGTGGATATAAAATAATAAATAAGAACTAAAATTTATAGAGCTAAATACTAGATTAGTTTGTGCAACAATTCTAAAGAGATTGATTCTAAGAAGGCCATACCAATTGCATACCAATTGAAGTACGTTAGGCATTGAGATTAATCTTATTTAAATAAAGCAATAAATGAAGGAGTTTTTAATAGCTTATGGAAATACATCAAAAAATAATATTAAATCATAATATATTTTATATGTATAAAAAAACTTAGCTGTAGTATAGACAATTCCACACTTTTAATGTTATTTATATAATAAGTATTTTTTCTTAATAATTAACCATCAATTAATAAAATGACTTATAAAAACAAAAAAATCACTAATAAACTTGCAAGGTGGACCTTGATGCTATAAAAATATGACTTTAAGATAATATATATGTATTATAGATATCAATAGTAATACTATTAATTAAGAAAATAAGAATAGTTGGATAGAAGTATATAAAATTAAGTTAATGTAATAATACTTTAGTAAGAAGTTTTTTAGAAGCTCTATAGATGCCAATTTAGCTTTATAAGTATTTATAAGTAATTGATAGTATTCAAAATTTTGTCCAAAAAATTAGGCATTTGTCATATATATTGACTACTTATTTCATAAGTTGGCTATATGGCAAGTATGTGAAAAATTTGTTTTGCAAGTTAGAGACATATCTTTTAAACTAAATACATGTTAGATAACTTATAAAATATTACCATATAGATTTTTAATTAAATAATATATACAAAGGCAAGAATGATATTTTTTTCACTCTTATCAATGTGTTTCTTGTTTATAGTCTAGTTTTAAGTATCCATAATATTCTTGTCTTTTGTAATAGTCATTTTGGTTTATTTTTAATATATATATGTATATATATATATATATATATATATATATATATATATATATTTTGATTTAAATATTATTTTATTTATTTATGTTTTTTAAGTTCTTATCCTTGATATATTAACAAGAATATATTTATAATAGTAATTTTTTTTCTTGATTAATAGTAAATCAATTTTTTTTTCTTGATGATATGCAAGTATATGAGATATTATAGATTATCTACATTTAAATAAATAATTTTTATA